CGTGCCTCTCCTGCCTCAGGGACAGGCTGGGCTCCCGGCGCTCCAGGGCGGCTGCCAGTGCCAACAGCAGGGCTGCCCGGGCCCCCGGGGACTGGCCCACCCAGCTGTGGGCGGACAGTGAACATCGGGGGCTGGTCTCCTGGCCCTGGCTCTTCCCAGGTGCCCCTCCTCTGTCCCCGGCCCTTACCCTGGGGGTCCAGGCCCAATAGCTCAGCTGCCCAGGAAGAAAGGGGCCAACCACACCCCTATTCCGTCAGCCGTGGGAGCTAACCTCCTCTGTCCCCGGCCCTTACCCTGGGGGTCCAGGCCCGATAGCTCAGCCGCCCCCAGGAAGAGAGGGGCCAACCACACCCCTCTTCCGTCAGCCGTGGGAGCTAACTCCACAGCCCCTCAGCCCTGGGGGTCCCCACTGCCCGCTCTGAGGCCTCACAGGGTCTGGGTGTTGCCGAGACCCCACTTACCCAGGGGCAGCCTGGTGGGCAGCCTCCACAGCCACTCGGATGTCCTTGGCTCCGCCCTCGGCCACGTAGCCATGGAGATTGCCCTGCGAGTCGTGGATGGGCCTGGAGCTCCGGGCCCCAGGCGCCTGGAAACGGCCCCCCACGAAGAGCCCATAGGGGGGTGCTGGGCTGCAGTAGGGTGAGGTGTGAGGGTGGGTCTTGGGGCCAAGGTGTGCTCAGAGCCCCTGCGCCAGCCCCCTGAACGGACCACTCCAGCTCCCATGAGCTTCTGGGTAACCCCCACTTCTTGGCCCCACAAGACTCTGGGAGACCCCAGACCTCTATTCAGCAGGACTGAGGCTCTCCTCAGGCCGGGACGGTGGGTGTGAGGCCCTAAGACCTAGAATGCAGATCCCGGTGGGGCCTGGGACCCCTCCAGGGCTCTAGCTAACCCGCTTCAGTCCAAGGGGAGCCTGCCCCTCCTCACCCACAGGATTCTGGGAATCGTGGGCCCTGGAACAGCTCACCTGGGACCTGTTTCAGGCCCGGCCGGGAGGGCTGAGGGGACGGTAAGGCCAAAGGTGTCATAGTTCAGATTCTCAGAAAGGTAGGGCAGCCGGGCAGGGGTCCCCGCGGGCCGCAGGTACTCATACAGACCCTGCGAGAGGGACAGTGTTAGGAGGGTGCAAGGCGGGCACAGGGCTGAGAGAGGGTGCCGATGGTGGCGGGCGGGAGGGGACACTCACATCTAAGCCCCCGTGCCAGGAAGACCCACTCTCCTTGCAGCCGCCCGTGGGCACCGCAGGGTCTCGAAGGCCGTGGGCGTTGATCCAGACTGTGCCCACCCGGAGCCTGTGGGGAGGACGGGGCATCAGAGACACAAGCAGGGAGTCGGGGGGGTGGAGAGTCAGAGACAGAGGGTCAGTGAAGACTGAAGCGCAGGCCCTCCCCACAGGCCGCTGCCTGTGCCCCGGTGGGCGCCACTGACCCGTAGCCCAGCTCCAGGGCCTGCCCCAGCCTCTCGCTCCACACACTGGCACTGCCTCCTCGGGGCGTCCCGTTGGCCACGGCCAGTGCCTCCTTGGCCGTGCGAAATGGGGAGGCCAAGACCAGAGGCCATGGTACCTGGAAGGTGACAGTGAGTTCAAGCAGCCTGCCAACCCCGCCCTCCTATGCCCGCCCCCACGAGGGGGCCAGCGTCCCGCAGTCAGCAGCCCCAGACCCAGGCCAAGGGGCCACCCAGGGCCTCTGCTGTGGCCCCTGTCTGGGTGCAGATGGGTGGGTGGAGCAGGATCTCTTGGACACGAAGGGGCTCACCTCTGCCTGGGCACACGGGGAGGAGGGGGGCAGGTCAGAGACCAAGGTTGGGGGGAAGAACGGGCTGTCTAGGGGCACATCGCCAGCCTGGAACACCTGGGAGAAAGAAACACATCTACTAGTACAAGTCCACTCCCGGGTCCCTCCTCCCCAGGAACCCAGAAGCCCAGGCCCCCAGCACCTCCTCCCTCAGACCCAGGTCCTGCACCCCTGGCTCACCTGTGCGCCCTGGCTCTGGGCCTCGCGCACATACCGCTGGGCCAGGTCACATGCAGCAGCCCCTCTGG